TTCGACTGTATTTTTTTTATGTTTGTTACCTCAGAACTCCGTCATTTATTAACCGATTTGGACAATTTTTGTGTTGTTTGAAAGTGTATACTTCCAGATTGGTCCCATTTAAATTTCAAAAAAAAATACCACCCCTAAGGGTGGAAAAATAGGTAATGATGAATTTAACCTACTTCTAATTGTCATATTGACTTGAAACATTGCAAGTGTTTCTATTTCCGTTGATAGTACAGTGGTTCGGTATTGTTGACCTAATCTGATGGTAAGGCCAGAAGATGGATAGGTGGAACTCTTCAACGGCTAATAGTAGATACTTTGAATTTGTGCTTATTTGTTTGATTTGACAAGCCTAACACGTTAAAATTCTTACTTTGCTACTACTTTCTACACTAAAAAGGGAAAAATAAAAACTTTTTAACAAAAAAATAAAAACCGACTTCAAACTAAAGCACTAAAAAGTAAAAAATAACTGATTGGTAGTTTTCATTTACTATACATACCTAATCAAATATTTTCGAAGTCGGTGTGCTTTGGCTAAGTAATTAAAGCCTACCTATTAAATACATACCTAATCAAATATTTTCGAAATCGGTGCCAGCCCATACAAAGCAAAGCACACCAACTTCGAAAATATTTCATTAGGTATGTATAGTAAATGAAAACTACCGATCAGTAATTTTTTACTTTTTAGTGCTTTCGTTTAAAGTCGGTTTTTATTTTTTTGTTAAAAAGTTTTTATTGAGTTCGACGTTTATTTTAGCGGATTTATAATTCTTTAGTCTAAGACACCATATTATTTTCCGTATTAAATATTATTCCCTCCACGACCGCGGACACGCCGGCGTGTCATTTACAATAGATTTCTTAGAATTTTGATTAATTTCTTAGAAATTTACCTGGAGGTGTTAAAAATGTGAAAGTTTGTGAGTATGTATGGGTGTTTGTTACTCTTTCACGCTAGAATGGCTGAACGGATCTGTATGAAATTTGGCACAGTCATAGATAAATATAGTCTGAAATAACACATCTCTATCAACTTCTTATCCCTGAAAAATGTACGGTTCCCGTGGGATCGGTTTGTTTTTTTTTTGCTAGAGGCGAACCCGAGCGAAGCGAGTGTGAGCCGCTAGTATACTCATAAATTAAAGTTTGAACCGATAATAAAATGCAAAATACTAATAAATTGGAAGCCTTTGGCAAATATCTTAGAGCTTATATTAACTTCATCTCAGTTCAACGAATCTGAATTATTCACATCCGCACGAACGTGAGAAGAGGAGTAAATGTGCTCTGAGAAGTTATAACTCTGGAACATCTACATGTATGAAATCGATGTGTATATGTATATTCCCTATGGACTCCAAAACGGCTGAAGCAATTTTGATGAAACTTTCAAGCGATTTTCTGATCAGCCCAGCGGGTGATCCTATGAAGTTTGGTAGCGATTGGAAGTTTGAACTCGGGTGAAGCCGCGGGTTCTGCTAGTTTAGTGAAATATACTTTAAGACCTCCATTTACTCTATCTGGTATTCTATATTAAATGATGCTAGGAGTTATAATACAGGAAGTATTACCTAAGGAAAACTCTTATATATTATAATACTATTTATGTACTCCTAGTGTCTTCATAAAAATTCTACAGATGGATATTTTAAAGGCTTTTCGTATATGTTTTGGAATTAAAATTGATCATTGTCAAGTTATGTTGGTTGGTGCCCGCCGCATAACATCTCTCAGTCACCCCTTCAAGCTACGAGAGAATCCAAGAGTACTTGTATGTCATCGTTAGCATATTTCTAAAACAGTGAACATTTTAAAATTCACGTAAAATACACGACGTGCCGTAACTGAAAATGATTTTATCGTAAAATACACGCGACGCCGTGACCAAAAATGATTTAAGCCCTTCTGTCAAAATTATTTTCCTATAAAAATTAAAGTCATTGAATATTTTTCGTAATTATAGCGAAATGCAGTTTTATTCGATGGTGTTTTTCCATACATCAAAATACGTTGATATTTTCAAAGCTTTCAAATTCTATTATCTGCACAAAAGCACAACAAAGATAATAACGATGTAATTCATTTGTATGTGATTAATTACTTGATCTAACTTTTCCCAATAATTTATCATAATTTGAATAATTTTAAACAATAATTTGCGTATTGAGTGTTCAGAAAACTTATAATTACTTCAGGTTAGTTTAGAATTTCAATCGCATATACTTTCTAAAATTAATTAACCGAAGAGTTTTGCTCTACAATTTGTAAAGCAGCGTTTTAGTTTCAAAACATACTCGTGTATCATATCATTAAAAAAATTAATTAAGACTTTAAAGGTCTGTATATAAGTAAAGGTGAAGGTCAAGATATAAATACCCTAAATAAAAAAGTAAGAGTACTTTTGATACAAAGTCATCTTCTTAGTTCTTATTTCGGAAAAAAAAACTACTCTAGCTCACTGGAAGCTCAAACTCTATCACGTTTCATGAGTTTTCAAAGAATAGTCCTTCATCCTGATAAAGACCGATGTAATATAGTAGTTTTGTATTCATATTTATTATTAATACTTGTGACTCACCCTCGCTTCACTCGGGTTTGTCGCTAGGTACGTTTTAACATTTATGAATTTTAGATGATTATTTTTAATGGCCTTTATGTATTATAATAATATAAACTACTGCTATTATAAACGCTGTATACTGATATTATAAAGCTTAAAAAAATAATGATTGTTTTTTTCTTTTAACACGCTTATCTTAAGAATTTCTAGTTAAATTTGAAAAAATATTTTTTTATCTTATATCCCTATTATCTCACATGACGCTTTAACTCTTAGCGGCGGAGCATACTAAGCGATTCAGAGATTTAGTCAAAAACTGTTCTATACTATAATAACTGTAGAGGTCGAATGTCTGTACATAGAAAAAAATGCTAAAAAACGAGTCACGGGGATGTAAGAAGAGAAATAGAACAAATCACGATTTTTTTCATTTTTTTTTTGTTTCTCTGTCTGTTTGTCTGTTTATCTGTTTGTATGGCCTAATCTCCGAAACTACTAGACCGATTTAAATGAATTTTTGCATGGTGGTTCCTTATATCTCCGGCCAACATTTTAGATACTTTTCATCCCGGAAAATTTAAGAGTTCCCGTGGGATAGTTAAAAACTATAGTAACTTATACAGCTTAGTACACAACAACTTATGCACCTAATTTAGTAAAATTTGGCATGCTCATACCTTATATTGTCGGCCAAACAACAGGTTATTTTTTATCCCGAAAAATGAACGGTTCCCGTGGGATAGATCTGCTTGTGTTTTTCTAGAGGCGAACCCGAGCGAATCGAGGGTGAGCCGCTAGTGATTATATAAAAATTTAAAGTATAGAAATATTTGTAGTTATAATTTCAAATATTGTATTGTATTCAGCCCTTTTTGAAGTCCCACTGCTGGGCACGGGCCTCCCTTCAATACGAGGAGGATCAGCCCATAATTTCAAATATAATTTGTTTAATTTTGTTAATACTTTTTGTTACTAAAGAATACAACTATTGTCGATTTTACATTATAAATTCTCTTTCAAATAAAACCATTTTCTCTCCGGTCTGGCAAATGCATGTACATATTTTCAGAGCAAAATATTATACCTTCAGTTTCAGAACAATGCGGTTTTAATCATATTTCAATTGTTTTGAAGAATTCTATACAAAATACCATTATCACTATTTGCAATGTAGAGTTAATAAAATGAATAATTTCTAAAATTTTGTTTATATATTTTAATTATAATCTAGTTTATAAAAGTATTGAGCTATCTCTCTCGTTAATTCTAATTTGGAGTAAATTTTTTGTTGCCTTTCAAGAATTTGATTAAAGGTCAAAGATTTCATACAGGATTTGAATTAATTACTGTCTTGAAGTAAGAAATCTTAACTACGCAGTACTAGTTAAAACTGCTTTGATTTTAATACAAATTTTATCTTTTAGAAGAGTTTTCTCTTATAGAACATATAATATACATCAATAATTACCTTGAAAGTATAATTATAATATCATTATTATTATACGTGTGAGTAGTAAGTTGTGTTATTTAAAATGAACATATGTATTTATTAGATTTAATTACGAATTCCTGAAAAAAATATCATTTTATCTAAATTCATTAATAATTTACCTAATAAATATGCAAATTATCAAATTAAATAAATGTTAACTTATATAAATTAGTATCAGATTTATGCTTCGCAATAAAATTTTACTTTACTTTTTATTTTAATTAAAGTTGGTACCAAATTGAATATGACAATATCATTTTCCTCATTCTTTAATATCGAAGAACTGAAATATCAAAAGTCAAACAATAAAAGCGGTGTTAATAAAACAGTTTTTAATTCCCATACAGGTAAGCCCATATAAAAAGTCTCGAGCTCATATGTAGGTATGTAACCAAAAGGTTAATTTAAAATGGCCGAAATAGACATCGTTGTCTGTTGAATTTAAAACTTAACAGTAAGGGCAAACTTCCAAAATCAATACTATCTTAAGCATCGTGTTGCTAATTAGTATATTTACTAATTAATTTAATTAGTGATTTTCATTAATTCTCTTAGCGATTGAAAGTTTTGTTTAATGATTATATAATTGTTTTATAATAATTAATTTAATTATTATAATATATGATAGAATTAAACTTTAAATAATGTTATATTACGTTATTTTAAAATAAATTTCTTCTTGTATTATAAATAAAAATAATATTTTCACAACACAAGAATTAACCAACGCTAAATATCATAATATCGTCTTAGTAGAGTAAGCCGTTACTTAAAAGATAAGAATTGCAAGTTAACACAACTAAGCTCTGTAATCCGTCGTGGAAACGACCAATGCGACTTAATATTTGCTATTTACATTTTTCTTAGCTAATTTCATTACACAACTTACCGAAGTCGAACTTTTGACACTCACTCACTCAAACACAGCACAAGTCACTAACATGAATGGTTCACTATCAGGGGGTCAATTCCGTGAGTATGCGGGCACTATCACGTCACAGCACTATGATAGGTCACAATTTTATTCGTTTCAGTAGCAACGACAAGCGTGCACCCGATCGTCGCAGCTTCGACTGGCTGGGGCGACGCTACCGCGCGTGTCCTGCCCACCCCCGCACTCACCTCGCACCACGGGCAAATAGAAATAAAGTACGCGCGGCAAGGATAGAACGTGAAAGAAAAGGATCTAGAGGCTTGGATAAATTAGATGGACATATGTTAAAATCACAATGTTATGAATTTATATAGAGTCTCCAAAATGAAATTTAAAATTTCATTTTTTTCTTTAATGAAATGAAAATGAGTGTAATATTGATATTTTATATTTCGTACGCTTAATTTTATTGATATTGTACAGTATCTGTAGTAAAAGTTAGTTAAATGTATATAAGAACATTAGCTAAAGTGCTGCCCTTGTAAATAATAATTCTACGTCGTAGCATATGGCGTAGCGTAGAAATATGTGAAACAAGATTGTTCATTACCTGCTAGATGTAAGTAGCCCGGCTAAGTTTGAAATACATATCTGAAGAAAGTATATTTTTAAACCTATACATATAATAAAATTGTAAGTAAGCCGAATCTGTACATTAAATATTTTTTGGAAAATGTTATTGAAATAAATATTATTATCGATCTAGAGGCCGAATCATAGTTTTTAGAAATTTTGTCTGTCTGTCTGTCTGTTACCGCATCACAGAAAAACCACTGGAGGGATTTTGATTAAATTTGGTATGCTGATAGTTGTTTATCCATAGTATATATTAGTGAGTCAACATATAGGGTACTTTTTACCGCGGGCAAATATCTCATTTTTGAGAAAAAATATAAAACTGCATTGTAAGAGTATACTAATATGTAAAACCTAAGAATTTGGTTTTTGATCGTCTGAGCGCGGACGGAGCCGCGGGAAATGCTAGTTCTACTATATAATCATTATGTTAAAGTAATAAAAGTTTAAGGAAAGTTGAATTGACTTTTAAGTAACTATTTAACCCTTGTGTAATAAACGAAATATAATATTCTAAGCCCGAGCTGCGGTACCAGTAATTTTATTGATATATTTATGGCTTTATATAGATTTATTTACTAGCGACTCACCCTCGTTTCGCTCAGATTCGTCCCTAGCTACATTTTAACGATTACTATTCCTTATAACATCAACTACCTGCCAGTGAAAGTTCCGTCGAAATCGACCAGCCGTTTCGGAGATTAGCTGGAACAAACAGACCGACAGACAAAAATTTTAAACATTGCGTTTTTCTCATAAATACCGTATATAATTCCACATGCATTTAGTAAAAAGCTGTTATTTTGACATTACAAACAGTCACTTCAATTTTATTTATCTGTATAGATTATAGTTATGAAAAGATAAATTACCAAAATATTTTTTCATCATAAAACCTTTTATATGATTTAGACTGACAAATAAAAAGAAATTTAGTATAATAATATTAGTAACTCTCATAATAAGATTTAATGCGATCTATTTTATTTGACAAAATAAGTTTTTCACGGTACGTTTTAGGTGGCTTGTATGTTTTGTTTACTCCGTTATGCCATTTTTCTTGACATTCTAAGCAGCTTTTCTTATAGTCATAAGTCTAAAATCAATTTATAATGTTTTATATTGGTTGGTTTATGTCAAAACTATGGAGCGTAGAGGTACGGAGGAGTCACTGTGTATGAAATAGTGTCTGTCAAAACGTGTCCAAAACCTAAGGGTGGCGCTGAGGTAGTGTAGAAAAATTCTAAAGAAAGCATCAAAAGTAATTAGAGTAAGATAGAGATATAAACAAGGTGATTTTTGAGAGTTGAAGTATTATATACTGGTCATGAACGAATTAACCACTGGACTAGACATATAAGCGGACGTACCTTTATCGGTCTTCTCAGTAACCAGGAGATTTTAGGCTTGGTCGTTTGTTTTTTGCGTCAGTCTCAAACACTTATTTGTCAACAAAACATCTCCCAAAATTGACTAAATGTTCTGTTAAATGATGTAAAAACTATAACGGCGGAAGCAGCAGTATTTCTTTTCACTTGTAAATACATTATTTTATTACATTTATTGTTATTTATCACACAATTTAATTAAATGTAAAATAAAATGTCATATTATCCAACTATGTTAAATATAGTCGATATTTCTATGTATTGTTGACATCTGACAACCATCATAAAATCCCTGGATTATACCATTCAGAACAAATGACTAAACTGTCGAGTGAGTCCATTTGACATCGACTAGTGCTTGACAATGTCGAAAAATATATCGATATTTGACGAAATTACTAAACGAATTGTGTTATTTGTACAGTACAATAACATAAAATACTTTTACCACAGTATCCTACAATCTGATGACAATAAATTTATAAAAATATTTTCTAAATCAAATAAAAATATAAATGCAAAAATTATAATTAGTATGTGTACTTAATTTTTTATTTTATTTTATTCCACATTTATATACTTTGGAATATTATTCCATTGTAATAATTATAAAGATCATTTTATTTCAACACATAAATTACACAAAATCAAACAATAATGTTTTAGCACTAAACTTCTGGGTTGGTGATTTGTAATAAAACACTTTACCACTTGCACTAATTATTTTACTTTCACTATCCAACACTCACTTTAATTTGCAATCTCTTTTTCTTTTTCCTAATTTCACAAATGTTTATTAAGAACTGAGCAATAGTAGGACAGTGTCACATTTTTATAACTACCCGAGACAATCAATTGCCAATTAAAATAGTTCAATAACAGAATCAACAAAATCACTTTATTTAATTAAATTAGCTTAATATTTTTTTAATCTTTACAAAATAATATTTATTATATATTAATGGAATATATACCCGATATTCATTTTGTTCATTAACATTATTATAAGCCAACAGAATGTTGCCATCAATGCCATCGTATTTATATAAATCAAATTAAAAAATAATTATTATTTGACACATTATTATTGCCTCTTTAATTCATTTATTTTAATTTATTAAAATTAAAAGAAGAAGAATAAATTAAAAGATGTAAAATATGATGACTATGCTAACCAATGTCTAAAATGTCATTTATTGGTTCATCGATATATGTATTTTATCGATTACGTTCAAGCACTAGAAATATTGTATTGTGTATCAGTGTTTATAATAATGTAATAAAATCTTAGTGTGCGTTATGCGTCACTTGGTTGAACTAGTTTTCATACATTTGTATTTTATGTCAGGTCCAGTCTCTAATTCGTTCATGATACTGGTATTTCATTAAATACTTTATTTATGAAAAAAATAAAAAAATTTTAACAAAAAAATAAAAACCGACTTCAAACAAAAGCACTAAAAAGTAAAAAATAACGATTGGTAGTTTTCATTTACTATACATACCTAATCAAATATTTTCGAAGTCGGTGTGCTTTGCTTTGTATGGGCTGGCACCGATTTCGAGAATATTTGATTAGGTATGTATTTAATAGGTAGGCTTTAATTACTTAGCCAAAGCACACCGACTTCGAAAATATTTGATTAGGTATGTATAGTAAATGAAAACTACCAATCGTTATTTTTTACTTTTTAGTGCTTTTGTTTGAAGTCGGTTTTTATTTTTTTGTTAAAAATTTTTTATTTTTCCCTTTTTAGTGTAGACAGTAGTAGAAAAGTAAGGATTCTAACGTGTTAGGCTTGTCAAATCAAACAAAATAAGCCCAAACTCAAAGTATCTACTATTAGCCGTTGAAGAGTTCCACCTATTCACCTTCTGGCCTTGCCATCAGATCAGGTCAACAATACCGAACCACTGTATTATCAACGGAAATAGAAATACTTGCAAAGTTTCAAATCAATATGACAATTAGAAGTAGGTTAAATTCATTATTAGCTATTTTTCCACCCTTAGGGGTGGTATTTTTTTTTGAAATTTAAATGGGACCAATCTGGAAGTATACCCTTTCAAACGACACAAAAATTGTCCAAATCGGTTAATAAATGACGGAGTTCTGAGGTAACAAACATAAAAAAAAAAAAAAACATACAGTCGAATTGAGAACCTCCTCCTTTTTGAAGTCGGTTGAAAATGAAGATTTTTTGAATCGTCATACTTCACTCTGTCTAGAACAGCTAAATTCATTATTAAATAAAACTATCTTTTCGGATTATTTCGCGGATTTATTTTGATTTTTGGTTCCCGACGTTTCGAATGCTTTACAGCATCCATGGTCACGGGAGAGACTGAGGTGTTACATGTCTTAAAGATATAGTTGTTACAGACAGCCTACCCACAATTAACAAAATCAAAATTGCACCAATTACATTACAATATTTTTAACTTTAAACATTTTTATAATTTTAATTATAATTGAATATGGAAAATTATTTATTTAATTTTTGCTATTATTTTTATAATTATTACAATTTTAAAAATATTAATTAGTAATCTATATTTAGTGTTGCCATTATTATATTTATAACCATAAATAAAAATTTAAAAATATAGTATTAATTATTAAAGCCATATAATTGTTCCTTGTGTAATTTAAAAATTAATTACGGATAATCATTTTAATTTAGTTTGCTATTATTTAAAAACAACTTACTAAGCAACACTATTAATATATACTTTTAAAAGTTTTAAAATTACACATAGAACAATTATATGGCTTTAATAATTAATACTATATTTTTATATTTTTATTTATGGTTATAAATATAATAATGGCAACACTAAATATAGATTACTAATTAATATTTTTAAAATTGTAATAATTATAAAAATAATAGCAAAAATTAAATAAATAATTTTCCATATTCAATTATAATTAAAATTATAAAAATGTTTAAAGTTAAAAATATTGTAATGTAATTGGTGCAATTTTGATTTTGTTAATTGTGGGTAGGCTGTCTGTAACAACTATATCTTTAAGACATGTAACACCTCAGTCTCTCCCGTGACCATGGATGCTGTAATGTAATCCCATATAAGAGATTCCGCCTTACCTCTACGCTCCATAGTCAAAGTTTAATGACTTGAGATATTATGAAATGCTATTAATTTTAATTAATAATATATACCATAACGAAGATGATTTATACTGGGATTCAAAGTAGTGAAAATGACATAATTTATAGGATTCTCGATCAATTGTTTTAGGCGATATAAAGCATAGGCTTTATACGGCCCTTCCAGTGTTCCGTATCTGAAAAATTAAATGTACTAATAGCATTACGCTGTCT